CAACACTAACACTACAACTGGCACCAGTTGTTCTAAGATGGAGTGATCTGGAAAAAATACATTAAATTATAAAAGCTGCAAGAAGAGAAGAGCCAGTGGGGATTCAACAAGGGGTGCACTGATATAGATTTTCTTTGCTGATACCAATAGCCAATTATTAATCAACCGTATGGCAGATGCCGATCCAATAACCGATATTTAGTAATAATGCCAGGCATTTTAAACTACTGACATAAATAAACTTCTATGTTTGTTTTACATTTATCTCACACACATACACACATAGCTTTTGTTCAAGCACCCCCACCACCACTTCTAAGTGTAGGGATGCTGATATAGGAGATGCAGTGGCACTTTGAGTCTCCCATGTGAGACATGAGAGCACATGTAAAAATGTCCGTGTCAGCTGCAGCAGGTGGGGCTAGCCTAGCAGTGCCTGCAACTGGCTGTGTGGAGCCCTTCAGCCCTTGCTCTTCTGCATGATGCCCTTGAACTCCAGCCCAAGAACAGCTGCCCGAGCCTGCCCAGCAGGACTGAGGGGAGAGGAGTGAGCCTTTCTGGCTGCCCAGGGCTGGGTGGTCTCTGCGTCAGGCTCCCCACTCTCCTTCATCTGCCCAAGGCAAGGCCACAGGATCATTCTAGGCCTGGAGAAACCGGGCAATTCCTTCCTCACAGTTGGGACCCAGGTCCTGGGAGCTGGACTCCAGCGAGGGAAGGGCCCCTTCCACTCCTGGTGCTGCCAGAGGCCGGGTAAGCTCTCATGTCTCACATGGGAGACTGAATGGATCCAGCATTGGAAAGGGCAGGACCCAGACGGGCTGAGGGGCCAGGGAAGGACCCTGCTCCACACTGGGGGTGGAAAAGGGTAGCAGCTGCCTCGGTCCCTGACAGGCTCTGCCCCCAGGCCCTGGCACACAAACCTCCAGGCACTGTGGGTTAAGTCACGTTGGGCTGGGCCAGTCACATCTTTGTGGCATTTGGCACCTTTTACAGTGCCTGTCCCAGCCCCAGCCTGTAGTCTGTGCCACACCAGTGCCTGGGACGCCACAGCAGTTGCTCCACTCCACTCCAGCCCAGCCCAGCAGTGAGGGGATGAATCCGGGGTCACCCTAGGTCACAGGAGGGAACCCAGGCATTGAGGGGCCTCAGCCCCACAGGCAAGAGGGAACCTAGGCATCTGGGGCCCTAGCCAGAAGGCATAATTATTGGAAAATGTTATCAGCTACAACGGCAAAAAAAGTCAATAGTCAACGTCATTTCCTTTTAATCGGTGCTGATCCGATAAGCAACCAATATATTGGTGCACCTCTAGATTCAACTATGCAATTCATCTTTTTGGGTACTTAATAATATCCTGAAATCCTTTAAAAGATATATTTGATAACTGGTTCCTCTGCTGCTCACTTGATTGTAACCAAACTATATAAGTTTAATGGCTTTTGAGTCAACAGTTATATTTCATCTCACAGCAATTTTCTTACACTTACATAGCACCTTTCATCTGAAAGTGCTTTATAGATAAAATTATAAATAATGCTTCATCCACCAATAAAATTCCATTGTTTTAGGGATGCAGCAGTACAAATCACTATGCTGCTATAGTCTGGTACATTACATTAGATGAAAAAAACACCACAACAAACTGAAGCTGCAAAGCAAACGGAGTAAGCAAAAACATGCTTAACTGAATTAGGCCAGGACACCAACTATAAACCGTATTTTTTTAGTTAAGGATCCCAAGGCTCTTTTAACATCAAACAATTCCTAGGACTTCATTTTTATGCTTATCGTGAAAGGTTTCACTCTCCACCAAACAAATGTACCTCAACAAATTATGGAGTCTTTGCTCAATACAGTTCCAATACTGAAGCACTATACTATGCGTTATCCAAAAGCAATTCTGAACAAGTAACAAAGCACTGTCCTTAAACTAAATATTTGGATCAACAAAGAGGAAAGAGGAAGAATCTACTGACATACAAAAAACAAGAATCCAAGCAAACACAGGTAACTTCATGCGTTTGGAATCAGACTGAGACCCAATTCAAAAATATTTCAGTATGTTCAGCTACACAGGTCTGACATAGGCTGTTCAGATAAAAGTTAAAAATGTTTCCCCATGGCTTTTTGTGGAGCACAGCATATATGTAATGAGAAAAAGAATAGGCTACAAGTGAAAGAGTCTAATTATGTTAAGACATTCCTGGAAAATGCTCAAATACTGGAATGGAGGATGGAATAAACAGCTGCATAAAAAATAATAAAAATCTTGAGCTTTCACTGACAGGCTCAGTCCTTCAGAGAATAGGGATATTTCAGAATCATTCGCCATTGCTGGAGAATGGCCTACAATGCAATAATGTAGTTATTCAATTTAATCATGGTGATTTAGTTAAGTTTTTTTTTTATGGAGCAAAGAACACAGAAAATATTGATTTTATAGAGTAGGCATTTCAGACAAGGTCAGTTTTCAGGAATGATTTTTAAAGACAAGCCAAGCAACTTAGAAGACAGAGGGAGAGCACTCCTTGCATAGACAGGAAGAAAAGGCATAGATACACTTAGAGGAGAGAGAAAAGGTTTATCAAAACTGACATCATTGCTAGAGCAAAGGGAGTAATAAGTAACATATATCTTAAAAGCGAAGAGAAGAAGTTGAAAGTTGGTGCAAGAGAGTCACACAAGAACAACAACTCTTTATCAAAATAAATGGCTTAAATTCATTATGGTGAATGGCTCTCATATTTCTTGAATGCCCAGGATCCCTCAAAAAACACTACATCTATTCAAGATAATGTGTCCTCATCCTTACCACAACACATTTCTGCCCAAAGGAAAAAAATCCTCTTACCTGTTTCAAGTTGGTTGAATGGCTCAGCAAGGCAAGGTTGGCTGGCCAGTCATACTGACATTTCCTCATGCAACCTGTCACACACTAATCTACAGCAGGGTCATGCATCAATTACAGTATGAGGAAATACAAAAGCTACGCTCTAATGTAATAGCTATAATCTTTTGGTAAAGAGACTGATAAAATTTAGCCCCTGACTATGGGATGACATCTTAGTGCACCTCCAGCTACATATTTGCCATCCATAATTTACAAGAGAAAATACAACTGTATTAAAATTCTGCATTTAAAGACAATATGCCAGATGGCACCAAGATGCATTAGTATCTATTTAGGGTCAGAGATCTGCCGTACACATTCAGAGTTTAACTAACAAAATACAGTTATTTGTTGCCATGTTCACAAAGTATTATAAAAGAGGCTAATATATCCTTATAGTGTGTCATTCAATTTTCTTGGGACAGCCTTCATTGAGAAAATACTTCGTTATAACTTCTGTATTGCATCTTATTTGAGATGACTGCCCTGTCAAGGGGATACAGGCTACACTTCAAATTGGTGCAAGTCATCAGCTGCTAATAAAAATCACTCTATACTGCAAATATAATACTCTTTCCTGCTAGGGTGACAGTCCACAGCATGACCATTCTCACTTAAACCAGGCTAGCCAAGGAAAGTGAACTGGAGAGCAGATAACTGCAGTTAACCTTGCAGTGAAAACACAGCAGGACAGCACATTTCTAAACTACTCCACAATTCTGGGACCTTATAAAATTTGGAAATTAGTTTGACTCTCAGTTCACTTATAACACTGGACACCTCCCCATAATTTACAAACTTACTTACATGGCATTTCTACATACCAAGTAGCAGATCCCAGTGAATTTTACAGGAGATATAACACCCATAAAAATCACACCTCATACCAGAACAAACACCAAGGTAGCAAAATGCTCTGAGTTTAACTAGAAGCAATGCACAAAAATTCTGAACCGAAACTACATGTGTGAACTTGTTTAAACTTGTTCTCAGAAACCAACTGCTACATCTGATTCCTCTGCTAGGACTCCCCATAGCACCAACTTATGTAAAAGTTAGAAAATAAGTAACCGCACCCCTCTGAGGAACTGCCACTTACTGCCTGGAATGGGCATTAAGATATGCTAACTGTTTCTAGGACATTAAGAAAATTCAGTTTAAACTTCCCAGCTCGTACTGAAAACATGAATCAATATTTCATCCATTACTATCCTTCAAGTGACACTTAATAGATTGAGATACTAGAAAGGAGCAAAAGGCTCTATGGCAGTCCCGCCTTTGGGCTGTGGCTTTAGTTAAAATGTTCACTTCATTTCATCATTCCATAAACAAAGCTCTTGATGTTTTTTTGAAGGAGGAAAAACACCAGCAGGATGAATGTAATGCACAGGCTCTCAACCTTTTCCAGCTCTGGCCCCACACTGTCACCCTTGATAAGCTGTCGCAAGCTCATCAGGGCAGCACGGTCAGAAAAAAAAAACAAGTTTTCATTCAGCCAGCAATGTAATTCATGCCTCTCAAGAGCTGGCTTAATATGGCAGCTCAAACAGTGGCTTCCCAGTTGGCACCAGAGTTGCTTTGGGAACTCGCCCTGAGCCATTTGGGCAACAGGTGAGATCCAGAAGCCTGGAGAGGCCTTCGCAGGAGGCAAGTGCACCCGAGGCAGCGGAGGGGGCAGAGGGCAGCCCCCACCTGCTGGTTGGCGCCTCCACATGCCCACGGCCACATGAGCGCTGGGAGGTCCACAACAGGCAGCTCTGGCTCCACACTCAGGTGTCACCTGGCCCAGCAGCTGCCTGCTGCCCACTGCCTTGGCAGGGGCAAGGGCCCAAGGCAAGGCTGCCCTAATAGTGCCAAGCCCCAAAGGGTGCTCCAAGGGCTGGGGAGGGGCCAGGACCCTGCCCGCTGCATGACTGAGGCCTGAAGACTCCTCCACCCTCGCAGGAGTCACGTGGGGGCAGCACGAGGGCACGCGGCAGGGAGTGGCGGTTCAACGGGCGCGGGGCTCCCCCTCCGAGTTCCGCCACCCCGGCGGCCCCTTCTGCTCTCTCTCCCCCCGGGAGGACGCCCGCGCGCGAGGCGCCTTCCCAGTCCCCTCCCCTCCCCTCACCTGAGTGTCGCGAGGTAGGCGGGCGGGCGGGG